TTTTAGGAAAAAAGTTATATGAAGTACTGGTGATATTTTGACCCCATCTATACATTTTCGAGAGGAAAAGAGGAAGTCCAGGGACACCTTGTATATAAGATCGACTAGTAATTCAGCTACTTGTTCAATAATTTTTGATCAACAAATAACATCAACTATGGGAGTAAAAATAATTGATATTCATTATTCGAATTATCGCATTTATGCAAAAGAAACTTTTTTAATTTGCCTATATATCTATTTTGGATGAGAAATCTATTGAAAATCCTATTTAATAACTGAAACTGGAGTAATTGGAGTAATAATTTTTTTCATAGATTTGGCACCATCCTCTTCAAGTTATGTTTTACCTTGAGGGCAAAAATCTTTTTGAGGGGCGACAGTTCTTACAAATCTAATTTTTGCTATTCCTCATCAAGGAAGTAAAATTGTTCAATAAACATGAGTTTTTCCTCAAGCCTCAAAATGAAGAGAAAATCATGAAAAAAATTAAATGAAGAAAAATTATTAGTTTTTGGTTTAGTCACAGGTTTGGTCCAGTTTTGAGTCAGGAATTCATGTAATTGGAAGGAATCATGTGTGTATTACCTTAAAAAAATGGATCGATATTTTTTGTCTATTTTAATGTAGTTTTCATTCTTGTGATGAACATGAGTGATTTCCTTAATTTCTACCACACATCTTGCATTATCTTGGGTAAAAAAATTGAATGAGTTCGTAACATGTTTTTAAATTATCATTCTGATTCCATTTTATTCTTACAGGGTTTCTTGTATGTAAAATTGTTGCAATTTTCAAAAGATTCGAAAATTTTTGAATTGCAAGGTTGTAGTGACTTATGGTAATTTTGTTAAATGATATTGTTGAACTTTATTCCCAAACTGATTTCTTCAACATTTTTTGCTCCTGAAACTTTTATAACGTTTTTCGATATTTTTTAAATATTACATTTTTTGTTACTGCTATTTCGTGAAAATAAATTCATAAAACGTCCCGTTGATGGAAAAATCATTCTCACCAGAAAGACGTCCAGTAATCTGCAAGTGTACAAAATGCTTGCGAAAGAACAATCCAGACAATGAAGAGGACCACCAGGCATTTAGATTCTGCGGATTTGAAGTACTCTTTGAAAGGTGACACTTTCCCAATATCTCTGATATCTTCCTTTGTCCAACTCTTTCTGTGGGCGGATATAACCTGATGATTATTAACATATGATTGAATATTGGAGGAGAAAGTATGCAGTGTATGTTGGAATCATATTCATTATACATGGCGTCAATTTGATTGATATCTTGTGTCCAGAAAATAATATGAGAAATCGAAAAAGCATGTCAATTTTATCTTCAAGGATGACAGTTTCAAAGTATGTATTTATTTCCCGTGGTTCAATTACAAATTTCCTACTAGACCTCCTGATTTATTGATTTTTTACCAGTATTTTCTGAAAAATCGGTTTTGCAAGATGGTAAGATGATTGCAATTCAATTCAACCTTCGAGTATCATAATAACTGTCCTGAGATGTTCTTAAGGAGGGTTATATGTTGATCAAAGATGTCATTCCTCTATTCCACTAATTCCAGGAACTGTCGTTCAACAACCGTTCGACGTGAAGAGAGAAATTAGGAGCAGCACCATCCTGCTGGAATGTTGGATATCCTTCTGTGGGAATAAATTACCTCCTGCATGAATCAGAGTTTCCAGCTCGTGTATTATTGCAAAATCGATGGCTATTTCAGACATGTGAAGGTTTAGCTCATCTGTTGATATTTATTCAGGAAAAATAGAAGCAATTCAGCAATATGAATATGAACAGATTTGCAACAGAAGATTGATCTTGACGTAAACCAGATCAGAGATGATATCTTAAGACTTATTCTTCCACCCAAAATGATTCCATAATATCTCTTATGGAATCATATGGTATCTGCATTTCAAATTATCTACAAGAATAATTCATTCAGGCGAGTCTCAACTTATCTACACAGTAGGTTAATGGACTGACACCTATCAGAAAATAACTACTCCTCGGGCTGATATCACGAAGGGCGTTGGATTATATACATCATATATCAGTGCAGAATTCTTCACCGAAGTTATTCCTGCATATATGCTGTTGGCGATACAACTGAATGAATAGATTTTCAATTATTGGAACACACTTGCTGACCGGTTTCGGGCTGTTTGGCCGGATTCTATCAAAGTATCAGTTCTCGAATTAGGCTGAAGCGAACGACAAATATGTTTGTCATCGCCCCATCTGCCTGTGAACGACATAATCAACAACATATCCGAATTTGCCCAAATTCTTCGTATCAGGAAAAAACTGCACATAAAGTAAGTGGTTATATGGAACGCCGTTTTACTTTTTATTGTCACAAATATTCATTCCACGTCATATAACATTTTAAAAGTATGACTGTCTGTTTTTAAATTTTTGTCGCAATAATGTTTTCAACGCGTCTTAAAACATTTTTTGTGATGAGTGACCCACAATAAAGTGACCCACAATAAACCGTCGGGGTTGCAGTGGAGGACTGTTTTAATCCACTCACTTTTTCTGGTCGATTGACATTCTTCAACTTTCAGTATTCTTGTATTTTCTTATAGTTAACTAATGACATGTAATCTTACCAGTAGTTTCAAGATTTTTGACGGCTGCTGCAGTTGAAATATACCATTGGGCCATTTTCCAGAAAATGAATCCAAAAATTATTATTACTACAACCATTACTGTGTTGGAAACAATAACGTTGATGAGCATTCCAATCAAAATGAGTCCAATCTGAAAAAATATTAGCGTTGAGGTAAAAAAAAATAACCGGCAAACGGTTTTGGTTCAATTATATATTATGTTACTTTGTATAACAGTCAAAATATGCAAAACAAAAGATGAAAAAAAGGGTATCTGGAATGTTATAAATCATTCGAACGAGTAATGAATATTTTTTTCTTTTGGAACACCATACATTTTTTCTATGACTCACATCAGAAATATTTTAAAATGAGATTTACTCGTGAAGGATATCCTAAATGAGGGAAATACTATTAAATTCCGTAACAGAAAGCAATGTACAGAAAACCCTCAAAAATTCACATAATTGAAGCTTTTTTTCATAATCATAGAAAAATATTGTATTTGTCATATTGCTTGAGCTGTAATGAAGAAAATTAGCTACAGAATCATACATTATTTCACGTTTTCTCTCCCACAAAGGGAGAGAAAATGGAATCTGCATGATTTGTTCAGCTCAGAATCGTATGTCCTCAACCAGTTCTTTAATGCATTCCGAACCGAATTGCAAAGGATTTTTTTCAGTGAACTGATTGAGTTTATTTGCTGTTATATATGTTGGTTATATTATCCGGTTCACTGACGATACACTATAAAAACACACTTTTGTCTATTTTACACGATAGTGTTATAATTGTTGACTAGTTTCGATCATTACACCATTTTCAAAACTAACTAGATTACATTCAAATATGAGTATTTATACCTAAATTGCCTATACCTATCATAAATAATAATTTGATACCTACATTGTCTATACCTGTGATAACCTCAATTAATAGCAGTATATCGATGAACATAACAAAACATTTTTAATAAAATGTAGGTTTGGGAACTGGGTTATAGGTTCAGGAGAGGACTATTGTTTAGGTCAAGTTGTTCGTTAAGGATGATATAACTGAGATTTTTCTTTGACTTATGTCTATAGATTCCAACAAATTCATCATTTTCTCTTTTTCGCATGTGTGGATGATTTTTAAATCATCTTCATCTATTTTATATTTCGAATTTTGAAAATGCTCATACATTAATGATTTTTTATCCGAAATTACATATTCATGGTACCTTATATCAAAATTTCTACCAGTATAGCCATATATACATAAACGAAAGTATACACATGCGAAAGAGGGAAAACGATGAATTTGTTGGATTCTAGCGAAATAAACAAGTTGAAGAAAAATCCCAATTCTATTATCCTCAACGAACAACTTGTATAGACAATATAGGTATCAAATTATTTATGATAGGTATAGACAATGTAGGCATAAATACTCTGATTTGAATGTAATCTAGTTAGTTTTGAAAATTATGTAATGACCGAAACTGGTCAACAAATATAAAGCCATCGTGGAAAATGAACAAAAGTGTGTTTTTATACAGGCTGATTCACGGTGGATGGCACATTAGACGTTTCTGGTGAACCAGACCACGGATCACTTTGAAAATTTGATGGAGGGCATATTCAGACATTCTCTAGCCAACTAAAATATTTTCGACAATGCGGTGTTGCCGCTTCTATTAGAAAGCAGTAGCAACTTTGATTTTTCAAATGGAACACTCTGTATATAATATTATTTTTGGAATCTCCAACAATTGCCCGACAACTTTTCTTG